TCGGTCGGTTCTCTGCCTGCACCACGCGAGACTTGTCACTACCTTCGCGTGGGCTCGGAGCCAATCAACGCAACTCCTATCGCTGATTGGTAAGACAGGCGGAAACAGTCCAGAGCAATAGAGTAAGCAATTTGCAACGACACTTTTGCAGGGGCGACCTTCGGCGACACAGAGCTCATCGCTCTCACGGACGCCGCCTCCGCGGCGCCGGACGCATCCTCATCCGGTTGCCAAATTCCCCCTTCACTATTCTGTACAGAATAAAGTGTCCTAACCAAATGGCGACCTGCTTCTTGGGATATGGCCTGAAGTTGTGGCGTACTGAGCGTACCCCACCGTTTAGCCGCTACAGGCCCACTTTCATACCAGGCGGTCGTTTAGATGGCGCTCAGTTGACTGTCGGCAGTGAAGTCTGTAGCTTTAATAGCATTTCAAAAGTAAACGTGCCCCCTTGGAGTTAAAACAAGTGGTTTTGGGCCTCCTAGCAGGCCTATCCACACATCTGTATGCATGCACTATCTACGCAAGTGCAAATGTACGCAGTACAAGTGAGGTGTGGTTTCCAGCCGCGCTGCCAAATGTTTGTCCGTGAGCGTAAGTGAGAGACTTCCACCCTGTAACCAGTTGTATCACATTCGTGCTTTCCAACCTGTGTATACAGCTATACTGCGAGGATTAACCCAGTCCCAATGAAAAATATGTAATGAGTCAGTGTTATTTTTACCTAAAAAGGCACAACATCTCTGTCAGAGAGTTAAAAAATGCCAACCCTGCTTCCTCTTTGCTTACCTATTTAGCGATTTTCGTTTTTACCGAATCACATAAACCTGAAAGACGCCGAAAAAAGTTCGAACGAACGGGCTTTGGGCCAAAAATAAATGCAAAACACTTTGCTGCCCATAAGGGAAGTCTGTTTGGAAGGAAACACACGAGGTTTGCAAATGCCTTTGCCCATAGGCTGCAAGCATGGACATAAAATGTGGCTTCAGAACCAAAGTACGCCATTTAGTGTTTTCTCCTATTGTGTGTGAAAATGTGCGCGAATTTCCGCCATAGGGCATGACTGGCTGATCTCATAAAATGTTAAACTCAATTCTGTAATGTGTTTTCGATTAGATTGATTATCATACGGCATAATCCAAAGATATTTCAGTCAGGCCAGGATGCTGTCAGTTTTAAAAAAGCTCTTTACTGCTCCAATAATTTTAAACCCTACCTGAGATTTTGCTTGAGTTCAAGGTTTCAAACTGCAAGCTGTATACTTTTCATACAAGGAAAGTCCAACGTTCCTCTATGCCATTGAAAAGATACGATAAAGGAACCATAAAATTTTGCAAAGAATATGGGCCATCTTGTATACTTCATAAGGAACACTTATACATTGACAAATATAATACTGTTTGAATGGTTATTTAGGGCCTCAAGTAATCCCATAATTACAAACTTTTTACAACCGAGAGCTATCCTTCCCCCATGTATGAAATTTAAAGAGGACGTAAGTTGCTATGAAGTGTGCATAAGAAAGGATATTTTGTGCACGTTCACTGTAAAATAAATTTGAATTTACGAAGACAGCGAAAATTAATGGAAAAAAGTTCTCATAATATAAGTAGTCCTTTTTTAACGAATGCATTTGTTTTAGGCGGTCGAAAAGAAGCGTGAATGGACTATCTTGGGATTATGGTTCACGATAAGGAATATTACTACCCCGCGGGAGAACCATAACTCCAGCAGCTCGCAGCTCACGCGGTTGTCACTTCTTGCGAGAATTTCGACCTCAGGGTAAGAAGCTGCGATCAATGGAAGATGTTTGTTGGTCTGGCGTATAGGATTCTCACTCAAACTCATCATCAGGGACAGTCACGTAATGATTAGTAGGGGCGCAAGGGACGCAGTACTAACAGGACGCAGGTGCCCCGCAACAACACGTCTACACTAATTAACAACCCTCGTGTGCATCGCTGGGGGGTCGTGTTTGGCGCGATGATTGTTTGTTGGTCCGCAGCCTAGTTTTTATTTGACGTGATTTCATCATCGTTGTTGGTTATCGGCGTGGCGATTACTCAGCACTTTGGTTCACTGTCATCGGAACTGTTAGTCGTCCGCGCCCTCCCAGTGTGGCTCATCATCGTTCTCAAATAAAATCGCAACACAGATTGTGGAAGTGGAAGGTCATTGCACCTATTAACTGAATGTGAGCCGGAGAAGCATGACTCGAGGCTCACGCTACTGTCACTTCCTGCAAGAATTTTGGCCTCAACAAGCTCGGAGGCGTGGGCGGGTCCCGAAGAATAAGCCGAGATCTGGGAGCTAGCGTTATTTCTCCTCCCTGTTGCCGCATGTTCAGCCATTCGCGTTCGGAGTAATTTACCAGTTTCTCCGACGTAGTTGTTTAGCTCAGAACTGCAGGAGATCCGGTAAACGACTCTCCGACGTTTCCTGCCGTGGCAGCGGGTCTCTCGGCCTTATGACCTAATGCCTGATGGTTGCCCTCACTCTGTTTGGCTAGTTGAGTGGCTTCTGCCGAATTGCAGTACTCGCGTCCTACTTACCGCTTTCCTGAAGACTTTTTAGACCACCAAATCTTTACACCAAACGAGGACGTCAAGAAAGGCCAGGTGGTTGTTTTCTTCCTTCTACATCGTGAATTGTATGCCTGGGAGGACGGCTTTGAGATGTACATTTAGTCCCAGTACCTGATTCCGTTCGATGATTGCGAAGGTATCATACTCATACGGAGTCCAGAATATCGGTCTATGGTGCTGGAAGACCATTGATTCCACCCGCTGTAGGACCGCCTCACCCATGAGTCTCGAAATCGTTGAACCCATTGGCATGCCCTCTAGCTGCTCATAGATTGCTTCGTCGAGCGTGCCATACGTCTTTAGACAGAACTTCAGTAATCAGAGGACTTGAGCATGTCGTATTGTTTTTTAAGAGTAGTTCGATAGTCTCAACTACCAGATCTGGGGAGTAGAAGTAAAAAAGGGAGTAACATCAGTTGACAGGAAACTTACCCCTTTCAGTTTCTCCAAGAATTGTGTTGACATGCTGACTGTGATGTCTGATTCAGCGGTCATAAATTTAAGACGCCGAAGCAACTACATTTTCAGGCCGTAAGTTCGAATGCCATAAAGTAATACGATGGACCGGAGGGGAACGCTATCTTTGTGTACTTTTGGGAGACCACAGAATCGGGCAAAGGTCGTTTCTTGTGCTCTCGATACGCATCGATTGATCGGCGATATTGCACTTGAGTGCTCAACTGTCAATAAAGTTACATTGATTCCACATCTCAGCGTTTTTAGGGGGTTGGTTTCGCATGGGACAGAGAACTGGTGGTTCTCCAACAAACTTTTGAAGGTAGTCTATTCTGTTCAGTATGACAATGGAACGTCCCTTGTCCGCTAACACTATAATGAGCTCATTCCCAGTCTTGAGTACGTTATTGCATCACTTTCTACCTTCGAAAGCACATCGTGCGGCCTATGATCCACGGTTCTTAGTTTCGTCAGTTGTTTCCGTTTTTAAGTTTGGGAAAGTCATGAGGCCGACCCGACTGCGATACGTTGAAATTCTTCTGCTGAATAATTGGCCAATTTATCATAGAAATTCAAAAATCTGATGAAAGAAGGTAAAGCGATTTCAGTGGGCCGGAGGAATAAAATAGGCTCCTAGCATTAGGGTAGGCGAAAATAAGGCCAGACTTGACTACTTGCCACTCAGGGTCACCCTCTAGCACTGTTTGATATGGGCTAGGTTTTCAGGTTTTTTTCCCGGGATCAGATGTTAGTCCCTATCAAACAACAACTGAGTAACTACGACTGCAGATAATGTAGTTATTTCTGCAGCGTCCCAGCGTGCTGCTTTGGCAGAGACTTTTGTACCGAAGTCAGCTCCCATGTCTGACATGCAGGTAAGACACGTCAGCGTCTGTAACAGGAAATAAGCTGTCAATCTTTTTGAAGGCGTTTCTCCTTGCGCCGGATATCGCTGAACTTCAACAGGAATAAGCATTGAGGGCGTCTGGTTGGGTGTTCTCGAGACTGCGTCAGTTTTTCCGTACTCTGATACGCTTATGTTTATGTGGAGGAAGGAGTGTATGCGTGTCCAAGAGGGCTAGTCATTTCGGTACACAAAGTGGTTATTCCGCTCTTGTCTTACGTGACACCCAGTTCTCATCCGTAACTTCAAGGAACTGCGATACTCAGCGGTCACCCCAATGACCGTCTCAGCTTGGGGGCGGGTGAGACCACATAAGGGTAGCCGACGTGTCACCCCACCCCGTGAAGTTCTTTATAGGTTCGCTTGCCAAATAGGGGAGGATCCAGTCATTTTTTGACCCTTTTGGATGAGACTTTATGTCTGGTTGTGCATTTCCCTCTTTATTATCACCAGTTTTCTGGACTAAACCTTGTAGTGGAATCCCAATGGGATTGAAAATAGAGGGAGAGTGAAGCGTAGGCATTCAGGTTTTACCCAGTTTAATCCCACTCACTGAAAGTCATTTTCGAAATCTGCTTCACCAACCTCCAACACCAACTTTCCATGCCCCTCCTGATACCATACCTATACCAGCCGTATGGAGAAGGCGACAGGCAATCCGGCAGACTATTCGAACTACTTCGTACCGTTTTCTAACAAAAATGAGGACCACTTGTGGAACTCGGCAGTCAGGTATGTCTAAGGAGCCGTATTTAGGGAAGAACTCTTTTCTTGCTTGTTGAGAAGGAGCTAAAAGTGTACTCTCTAAGGCTGGTTGACACCTTCTCGCAGCTGACTTCGACTGTTGAGTTCCATCAAGTCAGAAAAACATCTTACAGACAGAATTCAGTCGTTCTGCGAGACGCCCTCTTCCGATATCTCGGAGCCCAGAAGGGTGGACGCTAGTGAACACACGCAGTCAAAAATGAGTAACGGTGAAATCAGCGAAAAACAGTGCTCGGAACGGGGATGTCGCGGTGGCCTTAGGCATGGGCAGACCCTAGCCAGTATCACCTTCAGGCCTGGTCCGAATAGAAAGCGGAGAAGTTGGACGCTAGAATGATCGGAGAACGGGTTGGAACAAGATGACCACCGGCGAGGACACTTGTCTGGCGCCGCGGAGCGGGAGCCCCGCGTGACAATGAGACATGCGTCACAGCGCCCTTAAGCGAGGGTATGTCTGAATCGGCCTTGAGGTTGATTGGCTGAGAACCAGACTGCCACAGATATGCGCAAGAGGCGCAGTGATGCAGCAGGCACCTGGAGTAGGACCCCTACAGGGACAATTCAACGAAAATGGGACATGAAAAACCTTATTCTGGAATATTCGAGGCGAGGAAGAGCGAGGCGATGCCGGTGCTGTTTCCGCTTTTGGTGACATAGGCAGAAAACTTCCTTCACTTCTGAATGAAATTAGTGATCGAATCATCATAATGAAGCTCACACTTAGCAGGAGGAAATACATTATCAAAATCAGCAGCGACGGAGTTGAAAACAAATGCATGAGGATCTATCCTTTCTCCTTGTGCCTAGGCCGAAGTCTGACGAGCTGCTTGTTCTCACGAATCCCCTGTTGAAGTTGACACATACCATACCATTTGCAGCCGTGTAAATTGTCATCACGGGAACTCTTCCGCTGAAGGCCTGCGCAGAGAGCGACCTCATTACTAAGATGGCCTCTGTCCTCTCAACCACAAAAAGGAAGACTTGGATGTACCCACATCAGCGTCATTGACAAGTGTTAGACTAGGGGCTCATGCTTGGTGCCGGATAATATATCGGCCACCACCTAGTCATCTCGGACGCGATGTGCAGACAACCATAAGATGGTCTCGGGCGAGCAAACGCCAAGGAAGGAAACACCACACAACTGGAAGAGATTGGATATAAACAAGAGCTGATCGGTAGGATGCGAAACAAGCTACATTAAATCACGGCAGTTCGGCCGACAAGATCCACCATGTACTACACAAAAGGGCGATATCATGGGCGGTGACTTTCGCGTGGGCTAATTCATAGTGATAGTGGACTTGCGCAACATCTACCACACCCTCTCCTCCACCACCATCTGGATCTGGCGTCTAGACAGATCAAGAAAACCGGAGGTGGGAGAGGGCGCAGGTGACTGACACAGCGAAAGGCCGCACCTAGGTGTACCACCACACCCCCTGGTCCACAACGGACACTGGCCAGGATTTCATGCAACAAAAATAGGGGGCGGCACGGATCCCAACTGGCGCGGCACGAGCCGGCAATTGGGCCTACCACCACACTCCAGTGTTGACATGTATTATGAGTGCGCATTCTCTATAGCGCCTGTCGGACTCCGGTCTAGCCCTTTTTTAATTCAGCGCATCTACCGTATGGTCCCTTCTAGGAACAAATGTTGTAACTTAGATGCACGCTGGATATCTATTTTGGCCTCGTCCCTTAGTGGCTGGCGATACAAAGGCTAGAAGTTAAACTTCCTTCATGAGTGACTGTTTGGCGTTTAAAAATTACTGAGGGGTGCATAAAGACATCGTCAAAATCGCTAGGTCGCCGGGTGTGATGCATAAGGAATGGAGGTCCTAGGGGTGTGCCGTGTTTCCAGTCGCCTTCCTGCCAGAGTCCATCCATTAACTCGGTCTGAAGATAACCCTTAGGAGATTTGAAGCCCTTGCTATGGGCAGTATACAGTTGGCATGGGCGTAGGCGAAATTAATATAGAGGAAGACGGGGCGTTGCAAACAAACTGCGAAACCTCCAAGACGCGATCTGTAATATTACATAAAACCCGTGTGGACCCGCTAGCAGACCTTTGATTAGAAAAGAATGGCGAATAAATTTGGCCTTTGCTCGTCAAAAAAGCGGATCCACCGGAATCACAAGAACAGCGGGACGGAAACATTCAGAGATCTATTATCCATGTGCTGACATAGAGCAAAACAGAAGTTGCGAGACATGCAGGGCACATGACTGAGCCATAAGGCGCAGGAAATTCAATCATGCGCTGAATCCCGTGGTAGTAAGCGAGAGCGAGGAATTTCAATGCCACGCCACACAGCATCCCTTTCAGTGACATCGGATCAACTGACTCAGAAATCGAAGAGCATAGCAGAGTAAAAAGACTCGATCGTTGGAACAAGAAGTTTATTTGTCCAAGGTTCTGGGGCTACACTCAACGTCATCATCAGGGGCAGCAGCAAACAAAATACTGGTTAGTTATTCGCATACGAGTTGTCACTTGCCACAATATCGTCAAATATGATAGCTATTTTTGTGATGAGTAGTCGACACTTTGGCTCACCAGTACTGTCACTTTAGGCATTCTTCACTCGCGTTCTCAAAGTGTGCTTACTTATTCTAGCAGCTGGCAGCTCAGGTTTTTACCAACTCTCGCATAACTGTCGGCCTCGTCGAACTCGAACGTGTGGTTGGATCCCGTTGAGTGAGCTGTGATTTGGGAGTTGATGTCATTCCTTTTCTCTGTTGATGCGTCTTCGACCATCTGTGTCCAGACGACGTTTTCGCATGTTTCCGCCTACAAAATCGCTTAGGCAGCCATCCGCTCTGAGATCTCGTCGAAACTAGTGTGCTTCAGCAGACTTATCTTCTGGTTCACTGCAGTGTGTCTCGACACATCAATGCAGCAACTTCGTGCTAACGCGCCTGTGGCCGATTTAATGGTTATTATTGGTACTGGGTACCTTCCACGTATTTTTCGTACTCCTTAATATTTAGTTTTTAGGCCCCACGATATTATTGGCAGACAAGGACATCCAGGATGCCGTTTGTTCTCTTCCTCCACCACTGCAAATTGTACGCCTGGGAAGGTTCCTCAAGTGTCAACATGCAATCGGTTTTGATGACCATGGAGGTAGCACCCAGACAGCAAACCTAGATTTTCGTCTATAGTAGGTAAAGAATGTCTTCAAGCAGTGTTTCAGGAGAACGATAAGGTGTTCTGTCTAAAGTTTATTGTTAGTCTCGTTATAATGTTTTTCTAACAAGGTTTCCGGAGTTTAAACGGCGGGATGTTGTGGGATGGAGGGTACGGTATGTTTATGACACATTTGTCATCATCAATTGGGACAGGGTTAGGGAATTCACGCAACGTCTAAACTCGATTTTCCCAGATATCCAGTCCATGGTGGAGAAAGAAAAAGATTCCCAGTTGCCGTTTCTCGACATACTAGTCCAGAGAAAAGGCTACACGGAACTAAAAACAACGGTTTACCGGAAGCCGACGAATACCTCTCGTATTCTGAATTGTCTCAGCAACAACCCCCTTTCTTACAAACGCAGCTGTATGAGAACACTCTACCGGCGTGTTGAAATCCATTGCGCCGAGCCAGTCGACAAGAAGGCCGAGGTCCACTTCCTGCGGAAACTCTTCACAGTGAACAGCTATCCTGGGAATTTTGTCGAAAAGCGCAGACGAAACACCCTGGGAAAAGACCGAATGGGCAGCCGAAACCGAATTGCTGGTGCGCAATGCCGTACAGAGCTGGTGTGCCAGAAGAATTCACTTGACTGATGAGCGAATATGGGATTGGCGTCGCTCACAGACATGAAGCAACGATCCGCCGGTAATTCATGCACCCTAAGGACCCGATTCTCATCAATTGGAAATCGGCGGATCATTTACCGGATCGACTGCAATTGTAGTCAAGCCAGTTGTGTTGGTGAAACCGGCAAACAGGTTCGCACGAGATTGTACGAGCATGAGTTGGTTGTGAGTCGGAAGGATAAAATCTCTTTGGTAGCCGTCCACGCCTCCTCGCCAGGCCAGGGTTTTGACTTTGAGTGCGTAAGAATATTGGGCCAGTCGGATGACCGAGTTAAGCACCTGTTGTTGGAAGCGTGTCAATCAACTGAAGACGCGATTAACCGACATATCGATCCGCCAATCCGCACTGCGTGAACAAATCAGCAGCGCAGCTGGAGGTCATCCCCGGCAGAGATGAGTTAAATATGCGATGAGTTGTACAGTATTTTCATTCCTTGACGATGGGCTCGTGTGAGAGCTCGAAACGTCGGATTAATTAACAGTTGGTCCCAGCAATCGCCCCTCTCTCACCCCCCGTCCTCTTCTAAATACTTAAATATCGAAAAAAATTATCGAAACAAGTAATTACCACTTTTTGGCGTGGGGATTACTTTGGCCTCCTGAAATCCCCTTCCTGATCCCCTACCCTACTTGAATTTTTTCCGCATTACCTACCCGGAAGCCTTGATGCCTCATTAGCTAAGCTCCCTGTGTGGAAATTTGTGCTGTATATCGGAGTGCACCGTTTATCAGCTTGGCTTATCATCCAAGTATGGGAATTTTAGGGGTAAGTGTGACCAGTTGTGAATCCTATAGCTTGGCAGTAGCCGGCTTTATGCGATCTGCACAGAAATTTGATCGATGTACTAGAGATAAAAGCCGCTTGGGCGAAGACTCCTGGACAGGTCTTTTCTTATAATTGCCACATTAGCCGATTTGGCGCCATCGATTAACTAGTCAGTCGCTGTCTAACCTAAGGCGCTAGTCATCACGTGACGCGAGCGCACACGCAGCGGAGCCATTGTGCCCTTTATCCGTCGTCTTCGCACGGATTCCCGAGTTGCTCCCGATTCATAGCAGAAAGTCAGCTGGAGGGACGGAATTGAGTGCACGCTCCCCCCCC